ATGAAGATGCAGAAGCGTAACCGAATCCTCACACCCCAATATGCCACGTATCCAGGCTCATTGTAAGTCGATTTTAAAGAAAATGTTACAATTTTGCAAGCCTTCCCCAGAGAGGCGCCGGTCCCTGCTACGGGGAAGCAACTGCAGTAGTACCATATTGAGAGAGGGGTGGTTCGATTCCGCCATAGCCGTTCATTGAAGTTCTTGCTACTCAGGCAGAAATCGTTCAGCAAGCAGCTGCTTGCTGAACGTTTCTCCTGTACTATTAATAGGTTCGCTGTTGTCAAGGATCAGGAAAAGAGAAAAAGCCATGCGCCTACCAACCAACTGCAGTTCTCAGCGACTAACTAATGCTAGCTTCACTGTGGGACTGCCTGAACAAGCCTCTCTGTAACAGGCAAAGACTATTTCCAGCAAGGGGTACTGGCGAAGTCTCCCGTGCTTGCCTTGCTCAGCGAAACGAAGAGGGTGAGCAGTCTTCCTGTACTTAAGCGTAGAGTGGCCTAGCCCTCATACGAAATCTCTAGAAAGTATTTTCCTATGCCGTGCCCAACTGTGCTCTATAACCTTCCCTACCCGCCAATGACTCAGTTGCTGCTTCTGTTGTGGGTATCAAACTATCCGGTTTCTGGAAAGAGTTTAAGTGCAGATTTGCAAGCACTCCCCNGCTTCTGTTGTGGGTATCAAACTATCCGGTTTCTGGAAAGAGTTTAAGTGCAGATTTGCAAGCACTCCCCAGCGACCTAATGGTACGATACTTAGTTGTGAGAAACTAGAAAGTTGTGTGAATTCGTTCATTGATAATAATAGTCTAATGGATGTGTCTATTTGATGCAAATTCTTCAGTTGCTCTCCTGTCTCCTACTAAAGCGAAATTTGAGCACCTATTCTAGTGCCAGCAAAGCAAGCAACGCCTGCATCTCCAAGCAAGTCTACGGCGGGGCTCCGGTGGATGGATGCGCTGGCCGTGACTGTGAGGGGCGAGAAAGTGTGCAATGGAAAACCAAGAAAAACCGTTTATTGGTTAAGTTGCCGAGAAGGCAGTTGAATACGTGATTGCAAACATGAAAAAGAACCAAGACGGCGACAACTTCTGTAGTCTGTAAAAGAGTGTCAGTGTCGCTTGTCCCGTGTACTCCTAGTTTAAGGAAGAAGGCAATGAAGCTCGTCCGTCTTTTTCCTTCAGAGGAAAAAGACAGGCTTCCTTCTCTTCTCCATTGCCATCCACTTCTGTGCGCATTGCAAGGAAGGCTCATGGGTCGGTTTCACAGAAGCAAAACAACAATTCTAAAGCCTGCAAATCTCCTCACCAAGATACCCACGAACCGGTATTGCAGGCCTCAGGTGGCTAAAGCGGGGGTTACTGGCGCCTGTTTCCAGCTGCTACCTTCTTGTCATTCAAAGACTTTGCCAAATAACTTGCGCAAACGCAACGCAGCAAACGCCTCAACTGGGACTCGCGGTGAAACCACCCTGGTGTTGCTCCCAGCTGTAGCTGCACGGAACAACAGAATCCTCAGTTGTTGCTGCTGCTGCTGTTGTTGCTCCCACTGGTCGCCAAAGCATTAAGAAACCACGGCGTCCGGCCTCCTAACCTGCCCTTAGCAGCAGGCGCAGCTCGCAGCAAGCTGCAATCAACATGATGATGAGGGGGCGTTAGGTGAGGCCATAACATCAAAAACGGGTCGAAGAGGTTCTTTGTCAGGAGTTGCTCACGACGACGGGCTCCTCGACTGCCTATCATTCACGCGGTCTATCAAGGCGGAATAGAGAAAAGGAGACCAACGCGAGAAGACATGAACCAGTGGAGACAGGTGAGAAGCACGAAGCGCGACAATCTGTCTGTTCATTCGTAGGTGGCCGCATGCGCGTCCCGTATGCAAACGTGGAAGGAACTGCCAAAGAGAGCTCTCAACCGCGCACGCCAGGCGACCGCTAGCAAAGCTAATGTACCTTGGGGTCCACTGAATTCATCATAACTCAAATAAAGAGGCGGTTCGTCACATCCCAAATATAAAGGATTTTCAGCGGACCTCTATTGTTGCCGAGGACGAACATAACTCGGGCAAGACGAGGTCTTCGGGTCTTCTTTGTGTCATGCTCAACTACGGCCTGGGGAGTAACGCCGCTTATCCAGTGTCCGCATGCACGGGCACCTCACGTTATCGGAAGCCGCCGCACTGCTGCCCATGCAGCTGAAAAGGAAACTTGTGAGGCTGCTGTGCTCCGGCCTTCGGATCCCGCTCTCTACAGCAGCGTACTCCTGGCGCTGTTGCCAAGAAGCCCGAGAAAAGACGCATTGAAGTTGCATCTGCATCTTAGAGGCCCTTGGCTACCTTTTTTTGGGCTTCTTAACTTCAATGCGTCTTACCATCGTGATCATGCACCTCATCCGTCTTTGCTGGGGTCTACACAGTCAACAAGCACAAAATTTCTCACAAAACGGTTGTGCTGCACACTTGCGTTTGATTCCCCGGTTTCTCTGTATACGGGACCCTTCTAGGGCATATGAGAGACGAAAGGAAGAACTGAAAGCAAGGGAGAGGTCGCATTGCCATTAGAAGAGTCAGGTTCCTCCGTATTTTCTACTGCAGTGACTCCACAGTAGAGCAATGCCCCTTCTGCGCGTGAAGGCATTCTACTTGCGCACACTCAGTGAAGCCGTAACGCATTCTCACCTTCATCTTTGGGCGCAGTGCCCTCAGCTGGAAGCTGCGGTTCTTGTGTGGGTACCGGAGGGGGACTTGCAGAAGTGGGATTCCCGTTTTCATCAGAATCATCGTCATCTGCGAACGGTATATCGTCACCAGTCGAGCCTCCCACATCTGAATCAGCACACGACGCAGCATTTCTAGTGAATGCCATCCTGCCGCAGCTTCGGTTGGCGTGATGCACGGAGCTGAGGCCTCANCGCCAGCCGATAAGGGTTTGCGCTCACTTCCAGTGCTGTCTTTCGAAGCCTCGTCGGTCGACTCATCAGGGTGGTACACAGCCAACGGCAGCGGCATCCTCGGTGCATCCGGACTCCCTGATATGGGGAAGCGCCCGTGTTCTTCGATCACATCCTCAGCTGGACGCGGTCCTTCGGCGCCAGAAGAATCCTCGTCGGTCGCCAAGGGCACAACGCTTTGAGGTTCCCCTGCATCATCAACAGTTACAGCACCGTGAGAAAGGCAGTGACGAGCACGAAGAAAACCCTTCCAGTAATCCTTCAATGCAGAATAAGGGTGCAAGTCTGCTTTTGTTTCTTTGGCTTCGCCAGCTAGGAAATGGCGTTAAGGGAGATGGGTGACGAGAGGAAGCACTGGAGGAAGGGAACGTGTTTCATTGCAACCAGAATAATCGACTTCTTCCGTATTTTCTACTGCAGTGAATCCACAATAGAGCAGTGTTCCATCTGCACGTGGAGGTATTCCACTTGCACACACTCAATGAAGCCGTAATGCATTCTCACCTTCATCTTTGGGCGCAGTGGCCTCATCTGGAAGCCGCGATTCTTGTGTGGGTACCGGAGGGGGACTTGCAGAAGTGGGATTCCCGTTTTCATCAGAGTCATCGTCATCTGCGAACGGTATATCGTCACCAGTCAAGCCTCCCACATCTGAATCAACACACAACGCAGCATTTCTAGTGAATGCCATCCTGCCGCAGCTTCGGTTGGCGTGATGCACGGAGCTGAGGCCTCANCGCCAGCCGATAAGGGTTTGCGCTCACTTCCAGTGCTGTCTTTCGAAGCCTCGTCGGTCGACTCATCAGGACGGTACACAGCCAACGGCAGCGGCATCCTCGGTGCATCCGGACCCCCTAATATGGGGAAGCGCCCGTGTTCTTCGACCACATCCTCAGCTGGACCTGGTCCTTCGGTGCCAGCAGAATCCTCGTCGGTCGCCAAGGGCGCAACGCGTTGAGGTTCCCCTGCATCATCAACAGTTACAGCACCGTGAGGACAGCGGTGGCGAACACGAAGGAAACCCTTCTCAGTACCTCTGGAGTCAATAACAAGGTTGTATGCCGGCGTCTAGCTACGGAAGGCCTTTAATGCACGAGAGGGATTGCAGAAACGGAATATGTTGAATTTCCACCAGAAGAATCGCGTTCTGCCGTTTCCGCTGCAGTGACTTCATAGTAGGATAGTGGTCCTTCTGCATGCGGCGAATCTACTCAATGAGGCCACAACGCCGTCTCACCATCTTTGGGCGCGACGGCGCCAGCTGGATGCTGCGGTTCCCGCACCGGTAGGTGAGGTGGGCGAGGTGGCAAAGGAGGAGCCTCTTCTGATTCAGAATCAGAGTCATCTCCCTCTGTGAACCGCACATAGCAAGACACAACCCTTGCAGCGAAGGGGTCACTCTACGGTAGCTATACTTGGCCTCAGGGCAGAAAAGCGGACAGACTGCTCCATTATATATATATATATATATATATATATATATATATATATATATATATATATATATATATATATATATTGGTGTTCAATCGTCACCCATACCGCTTTCAGAAAAATTCACGAGAGTCGCAAATACAGTTTCGTGCCCCGTGTCCGCCGGAGCTGCGCTTTTCGATGCGCTGGGCGTTTGGTGGGTGTGCGCAGCCGGCTGCGGCCGGCGTCCATGCTCCTCAACAACATCCTCAGCCCTGCGTCTGCCCTTGTCGACCGCAGCTCCACCACGGCGTCCGTGCTCCTCGACCACATCACCAGCCCTGTCTTCGTGCTCCTCTGCCATCTCCTCATCTTCAGACAGTCCGTCAACACCATCGGAAGAAAAATCCATGCTCCCCAAGTTTGAAGCGAATTCAAATTCACCTGCGTCGTCAACAGGAACAATAAGGTGAACAGAACGGTGGCGAACACGAAGAAAACCCTTCTCGGTGACTCTATAATCGCCACCCACGATGTCACTGCATGTCCAGCGCCTGTCTGCAGGTCGCTCGTAGTTGATATCTCCTGGGCTAGAAGGTGAGTGAAGAATGGAAGGGGAGGAAGGAAGATAATACAGGGATTCATAGCCTTGCCTGATGTGGTCGTGCTTTGTGTACCCGACGAAGTCGAAACCGATTCATACTCGGACTCCTCGCGGTGGGCGCCATCACCGCTAGAAGCAGCGCTGCTCTTTTGAGCTGCATTGTCAACAGCCACAACACCGGTTGCAGCATCGTGATGAGCATAGCATAGAAAGAAGATGCTATATGGAAACGCTGAGGCAACGGTGTTCTTATTGGGGTGAAAGCATATAATACAATTGCAACACAGCTGCGCTCCATAGTTCCTGACGAATTGAGGTTTCCCGGAGTTGATGAGTGGAACTGGTGAGGCCAAAAGCAAGCAGCCTTACGTGGAGGACCTTTCTTCCTCATTTTCACTTGTTGACTGTCATGACCTTCTGGTGCCAGTATGGAAAGCCCTGAGGGGAGCACAGTGACAAGGGAAGAGGCAGGTGAACCTGGGTCGCACGAAGGCGTCTAAACCGTTTGCTGCAGAAGTCTAAAGCCGATAAAGACTGTGCGATGTCACACCTCTTTGCTCTCCCCGCCTAAATTGAGGGGGATCGGGGGATCGTCTGTGCTTCTGAAAGCGGGAAGAACCGGGTTTTTCTTCCGCCGCCGAAACAGAGATGATCGGCCTGCTGTACAAACAAGTGCGGCGTCTCTCTTCAAATTCAGAAGGCGCAATGCGTTCGACGTCCAGGTCACCTTTCATCACTGGCACCGTCGCGCCCGGAGGAAGTACGAATTCGTCTGCATCTTTGAGGTCTCTTGCCATGTCGTAAACACTCTTGAGCTCATCCAGCTCACCACTGATCGCCATCAACGCCGTGTCCAACTCGGTGAGGCGAAGGCTGTCGTTCGGCAGCCGTCGTCTCCTTTCGGCTTGCCTGTCGAAGGCGCGCTCCAGTCTTTCTGCCTTTTTTTTCAAAAACGCTTCACGAGTGGTAAATGCCACAGCTTCTGTAGACATGATAAGGGCTCTCTGAGCTCGCACAGTGATCTCGTAGTTCTCCCACTGGAATCTCTGTCTCTCCAGCTCGTTCAACGCTTCCCTCCCCAGAGTTTCGCTGGAGGCAATGCGTTGCTGCAGATCCTCCTGCTTCTGTATGCAGAGCTGTATACTTTCGTCGAGCTCTTTCAACTCCTGTCTGGCGCGATCCTGCTGCTGTTTCTGCATGCGCCACTCTTCCTCCTCCGCGGCGCGTAGGCGATCGATCCCCTCTTTGCCGGACTGCTCCAGGACAATCTCCGTTAGCCATTCGCCTTTCACTTGCAGCAATCGGGTGATGGCGGCCCAAGTCGCTGCCTGACACCGCACAACCGCCTCCAGCAGCATGCGGCGCGCCCGGACGATATCTTTCGCCTCTTCAGGTGTTGAGGGTCTCTTTGGAAGCGCTTTCAGCACTGCACTTGCAGCCTGCATCGTCTTCAGCTCCATGTGGTCGTCAAGAAACAGACTGCCTTCTTTCGAGGTCCTTTTACAGGGCTTGTCGTCGAAAGCACCGAACTCCTCATCAATCCGCTGCATGATGTCGGCATCCCGGGCCATGGGGCGAAACTTCTTCGCTGCTTGGCTTCCTGCTGGTTCTCTCATGAATAAGAATTGTTTTTCGCGCCCGAAGAGCATACTTGGCGTTCGTTTGGCCTCTCTCTCAATCTTCTCCAGGCTGTTTCTGAGCAGTTGCATCTTGTTTTCCTTTTCCATCAGTTCTTCTTCTTCATCGCGGAGCAGCTTTTCTTGCTGCTCGATGTGCAGTCGCTGGCTCTGTAGGAGCCCTTCCTTCTGATCGTTGGCACTCTGTTGCTCCGACAAAGAAGTCTTGAGCTCAGCTAGCTTATCCTTCTCTACCTCTATCAACTCCATCCACACCTTCAGGCGCTTTGAAAGGGCCGCATTACCTTTCCATTTCCTGCTTGAGAGCCCAATATGCACGCCGCGCACGACCACCGCAATGGCCACCACGACAGCCAGCACCAACGCGCGGTGTCGCACGGCTCTCCTCGGGCTCTTCGATGTATCCGCCCGTATCACGGGGGTGCTCCTATCCCCAGTATGGATCAGCTTCGCTGCAGCAGAAGCGCTAGACCTCTGAAAGCTCCCGCCACTCCGGTGCGGGCCTGTTGCAGTCCCTTCCTCGAACGCCGCCTCGTTCACATTTCCCGCAGCCCGTCCGGACCCAGAAGACACACCGCGTGAGCTTCCACGCGAGTACGGCCTGCTGCTTCTGGATGCCTCCAGCGGTGAGCAGCAGCAGCAGAGCACCAGCCCCAGAAGGGCCGCCGCCGGCAGCACCCGCTGCCTGCGCATGGTCCTCCTCAAAGAACGCAGCACAGCCACTCCCTTGGCCGGCGTGGACTTGCAGCTTTTCTGCTGACCTTTCAACAAAATAACCAGGAGCCTTCGGGGTAACGCAGAGGGAGAATAGCGCGGCAGCCAGCAGCAGGTCGTTCGCTGTCTCCCCCGCCCCTCCAAAAGCTCCGGCTGGAGGCACGCCAGCCACAAGGAGACACGTGCAGAACTCCTGAGAGGAGAAGATCGCGAAAGGCAGAAGGAGAGACAACAGGCCTGGCGCAAGCCAAGCCGAGGCCCTGCTGCAAATGGGCCAAAAGGAGGCCCCAATGGGAGGGCCCTGTGCTGAGGAAGAAATGTTGGGGACTCAAACTCCAAACAATTATTCAACCCTCACCAAATGAAGACATTAAAGAAGAGCCTGCTCGCTGCCGTCGAGGGAGCGGGCTGGAAGGGATCTGCGAGCGGACGGAGCCAACACCGGGATCCGACCCAATGGGCGGGATTGTTGGTCTTTACGTTCTTTTCCCTGTATCAATCTGCAGCGTTTAATGCACTAAATGCAACTAAAAGCAACATAACTATCCCCTCGTCTCCAGCAACTAATGAGGAAAAAGCTGCCGCGACTCCCCGCAGGGGACCCGCCTCGCTGACATAACCCAAAGTATAGTAAGGCAACACGCGAAGGTAGAAAGCTGCTTCTGTTTAAATTGATTAAATTAAATTTGCTTGAGTTATGAATGTTGGGGAGGAAAACAGCTACAATCACTGGCCGCACCTCAGCACACAGCCGACCGCCCCAGCAATCTGCAAACCCCGATAACGGCACCGCTGGCTCCTGCGTCTTCTGCGGCCGAAAGCCGATTATCATTTTCGTTTTTGTGTTGTTAAGATCTGACTGTGTGGGAACAGCACCGGGAAATAGCCCCAGCACGACGAGAGCCAGCTACAGATGTGCGGAGGTCTGCACTACCATGCCGAAACCTCCTCTTTTTCACCTGTGCGGCTAGAGCCCTCGTAAGGGGGAAGAGTGTCTACAAATAATCCCAGTGCAAAGGGAGGCAGTGACGGAGGCGCTGGAGTCTGTCCCTCCAGACATACCCCTGAAGAAGAATCCCCCGGGGGCCGCGAGCTTTTCGTTTGTTCTCTC